CATAGTTATTTTATTATAAATGGTAGCCCTTGGGCCAAGGATACCCTATGACAAATTTGGTACTGATTGGCCAAGGGGTTCTTGAGTTATGGCCCACATTCTAAAAAGTTTACGCACACCGCACAAATGGCCATAGCATTAGCTCTTTGAGCCTTTGGCTCAGAAGAGCTAATCAAAGTACTCAGAAGTACAGAGAGCCGGGCTTATTTACAGAGTAGAATGGATTTCTTACATGACTCACTTTTATATTCTGATGAAAAAATTATTTTAAAACTATCAATATAAACGATAAGACACTGACAGTGAGTTTTTCAATCCTAATACCACGGTCCGATTTTGTCAGAATCAGAATTAATCTGGTACCGCAGCTGTATGTAAACAAACAGGCCAGTCTGGTTCCCTCTCCTGCTTTACCTCGTATGTGTAGAGAACTACGGTAACACTGATTATCAAAAATCCTTACGATAATGAACTATGTTCTTTGACTTATGAAGTTTTCAAAGTCATTACTACTAATGTTTATTTTATATAGATAAAACTTCGTTTACTTTTGTTGCTTTTTTTAGCGTTTGTATTATCTCAAAAGCGGTTGAGAGTAAGAACTATATTTTTGCACGTAACTTTAAAATGGCGACTATGGGGTCAACATCCTGCCTTGAACAGGATCACATAAGCCGGCAATTGCTCTTTGAGCAATAAGCCCGGCTAAAAATAGACTGTCCAATGAAATAACTCCTTTAAAAGTGTAGTTTGGGCTGAGTACGAAGATGGCGGATCTTGAAAAGAAAATATGTGAAAAATTCAAATTCAAATTTACATTCTATGTAAAACTTTGATTCCCCATTGTGGCCCCGCACAACCCCCGAGATCATGATTTGAACAATTTAGAATCTACACTAACCCAGAATGTTTCCACATAAGTTACAGCTTTTCTGGCCCAGTGGTTCTTGTGATTATGATTTTTAAAGTTTTTTCCTTTATATTTCTATGTAAAACTTTGATTCCCCATTGTGGCCCCGCCCAACCCCCGGGGGTCATGATTTGAACAATTTAGAATCTACTCTACCCCAGAATGATTCCACATAAGTTACAGCTTTTCTGGCCCAGTGGTTCTTTAGAAGAAGATTTTTAATGATTTTTCCTTTATATTTCTATGTAAAACTTTGATTCCCCATTGTGGCCCCGCACAACCCCCGGGGGTCATGATTTGAACAATTTAGAATCTACACTATCCCTGGATGCTTCCACATAAGTTTCAGCTTTTCTGGCTCAGTGTCTTATGCATTTATAGGTTGTACATGCAAATGTGGCTGGCTAACAAAAGAGACAATGTAGCGGTAATGTATACTTTCTTATGTAGCGGTAATGACTATGTAGCGGTAATGAAAATTTTGAAAATGTAGCGGTAATGATACGCATCCCCTACAGGTGTCAGGTGAGATCTAGCTTCAAAAATAGTTCAATGACTACTCCTTATCATCTGTTGACCTACATGTTAAATCATGCAGTAAACCAAAACGTCTTTGATTCTTGCACCTGTTTATCCAAAGCAACACAAGTACCGATTTCTAATGATGAAAAATGTAGAGGCGTCCCAGAATTACATGGAAAATTTCTGACCTCTCTAGATTTTCCATGCAATTTCGGGACGCCTTTACATTTTTCAACAATCGATATCTGTACTTCTGTTGCTTTTGATTTCTGCGCTTGGTATCAAGAACGTTTTGGGTTTACTGCATGTTTTATTCAACAAGTTCAAATCAACAGATGTATGAAAGGCGTTATTTGATCATTTTTGAAGCTAGATCTCACCAGACACCGGTAGGAAAGGTGTAGATATAGATGAAAATTAAGTGTGAACCGAGTCACACCCTGATTTTCAAGATGGAGAGTGGTGCTCCTTTCCTCTTTTTATATCCAGTAAACACAGGGTTCTCATTAATTTTTACAGTAGGTGGAGAAAAAGAAAAAGTAGGGGGCACTTCAGACTTGAGGGCCGAAGGCCCGAACCGAGGGCCACCGGCCCGAGGGGGGTGAGTCCGAGAGGGGGGTTTCCCCCTTTCGGTTAAAAGGGGGGGTTCGGGGGTCCTCCCCCGCAAAATTTTTAATTCTTGCATTGCAGGAGGTGGATTCTGGGACCTATCTGGGCATATTTTGACTTGTTTCATTTGTTCTCAATATGACATTTTTAGGAGCCCATTTTGATAAAAAAAAAAAAAAAATTAAAAAATCACAGGAGTAGCACACAGCCTATGATGATCTATAAAACTTCCTTGATTTTTGTAATATATGTATGTTATGAATAAAGATTTTCAAAAAAAAAGTTGCTTTTTGTAGCAATCATTTACATTGTTTAGATGTAGATCTATGGGATACTAAAGAGTCCGAGTGTCTGCAGCTTATTAACTAGATAAATGTACGCTGTATTTTCACAGTTATAAAAAAAAATATGCAAGTATCATTGAAATCCATACAGAAAGTCACCTTACAATTCTTTGTCAGAAAATAGTGATGCGCCTGTATTTCTATCGGTAGTTAGAATAATCTTACTGTGTCTCGGTCGGGACAAGGCCTCACCACAGAATTGTTCCGAAACGAATTTTAAGTATACAAAGTCATAGGGATTTGCACTTGAAATAACCTCAAAATTAATTACAACAAATTTTTTTGAGGTTGCGTATGCTTATAAACCTAAATTTTAATCCAAATAAAGACGATAATTCAACTAATATTCTCAACGGGTTTTTTTTCCTGACACGCCATGATTGCTTTCGGAACTCTCTGGAATCTTTGTGGATGCACTGAGTTCGAGTTATCACCCGTGTTTCGATCACGATTCCTGTAGCATCACCACGTTTTTAAAAATAGGGGGTCGTAATCTTACAAGGAAAGCGTCAAATAACAATGATTTTTATATGTTTACGTTTTTTATTCACTACGTGAACAAGACAAACGGGATAACCAAAATTCTTCTCTGAAGCACAGATTTTCTTTACTGATTTTTGAAAGTGAAGTAACCGGCGTCAGTGTACAAGTAGACGGCGAAATCGCCGGTCGCCGGCACTTAATGAGAACCCTGTAAACATGGTAAATTTGACATTTTTAAAACATGCTTATTTCTGCAAATTTTTATTTTCATTTTAATGAGGGTATTCAGACACACCTAGAAAAACATATGATATAATACTCAAAAAAACACCATCCCGAAACCAAGTGAATAACGTTATGCTGTCTTCCTGGATGCAGATTAGTTAATAAAAAGCAAAATTTTGAAAGTTGCATAGAAATCGTGAAATAAAGCTACTTGAATTAACTATATAATGCTACATAAGTAATTCTAGCTACGTAGCTAAATTTGGTGATTGTACTGGAACTAAATTATACGCCAGGATTATGGGGACATACTAAAACAAGTCCCACGGGGAAAATAAGTCCCACATGAGTCCCACAGAAAAATAATGAGTCCCACCAGTAAATATGATATTTTATTAATATTTAACAACATATTTTTATAGAGTATCATTGTTTAGATATATTATGAATAAAATTTTGTCACAAAAATGTTTTAGAAGCCGGTTACAACGATGAGTTACAAAAACAAAGAACGATAACTCCTATATCCTCATATAACTATAATAGTGTTTCCTAATCCCAACAATAATGATAACATTTTAGTAGTTTTTGAAAACAAATATTAATAGATATTATAATTTCATTATTAAATTAATTATATTTTAGAAAGTCAGGAAGTTCTAAGATGTTTTCTAAAGATTGTGTATAATCTAAGAGCAATAACTCTTACATCTGCCTCAAGTATTAAAGTAACAAGCCATCCAAATTTTAATTTTAAAGATTTTATGAAACTTTCACAATGTTCCTTGGTTTATATGCCTTCTGTAGCAGTTCTAACGACCAAAAAAAACTACTACCAAAACCAGACATTTTCAATCAATTTTTTTTAAATAAATTTAACAATTTTACAATATCAAAACTTGGGAAATTCAATGAATTTTTTCAATGCTAGTCTTGTATTTATCAAGCATATGAGAAAGAGATTTTTAATTAATATGTGCAATGTACTAGCTCAATAATCTAAAGCCATTCTTTCTTTTGAAAATTACGACTATACAGTCCTAGGAAATTATACAGACCTACAAGTATTGTTTTAAAGATATAGAAAGTGAACTAGTTTACTCATTCATAACAATTGGATGAAATTGGAAGTGATTTATACCAAGCGCAGAAATATAATTTCAATAATTCTATTTCTACATTTAATTAAATATTTTATTTGAAATCCAAATGGTGTAACTTAGCCCCAGCCTTGTTCAAAAGTTATTGTAATAGGTATACAAACAACAGGGAGATTGAAAGGTGTGAATAACATCCCCAAGGTGTTGTGTACAGGTATACCAGGGGCGTACCTCCACAGGTGTCTGTGTATATACACAATAAACATCGGTGTCAGGAAAACTTACCAAGTTATTGTTAAATAACATAAAAACACAGTAAAACTATTTTAGTTTGTAAGAAACAAAGTAATTATATAAAATCATTATACTAAAATAAAACGTACTTTTAGTTGTATTAAATTAACTTCCTTATTAAAAAAATATTTTACAAATATCTAATTTTTTTTTTTCAGAAAAAAAGTTACATGTAGCTATCAGCAGTAATTAAACATTTTCAGTATAGTTTTTGGCCATTGTTTACATTTGAACAGAGTTATCGTTCTTGACTGTGGTCTGAAATTTACAATCGTCTATTTAACACACTTAAAACATTTTATTAAAACTTTTTTTGATATATGGTCATATAAATAAAATATTCTTTCAAAATAACCCTTTATTATATGTATTTATTGGCTCTTTTGCTGTGGGACTCACGTAGGACTCATGTGGGACTTATTTTCTCTGTGGGACTTGTTTTAGTATCAGCGGGATTATGGACAAAAATTTGTAAGGTCTAACCGTCTAGGACTACTGGTAAATACGACTCACCTATACTTTGAAAATAGTTGTTTAGGAGAAACATTGCCTCCATTTGGGCTTTGTCCATCTTTTTGATATCTTCAATATTTTTATCGTGGCATAAGGTTAAAAATTCGAGTCCAGGTCGAAACAAGGTAGAGAAGTTAACGTTCAATGACCTCACTTCATGTTTCAACTCTTCTTCTTCCCTCTCCATCTTTATCATGTCAAACTTACAATCTGCATCAGTAAATGATCTACTCTCTGTTGCATTACATTTTCCTATTTCCAAAACTGCAAATTTCATTTTATGCAAATGAGGTATTGCCAGGAAAATACCTTTGTGTAACCGTAACGAAACATTTTCGTGTTCAGCCATTGCTTTCCCACAATCCTCTCGGCGGTGTTCAGTCAACTCGTACACAAACCGTCTCGTACACAAACCCAGTCGTACACAAAAAGTCAGCTCGTACACAGCTCGTACACAACGTTTTATTTTAGTAAAGAATTATTTTATATTAATAGGCCCTAATGTATAATGTAGGAAAAATGAAATAACGATGAGGAGGAACGTTAATTTTTTAGATTTTTTTCAAGAATATCTTTGTGGTTTTATAACATTTGGAATGGACTGTGGCTTCTCTTATTGGGAATACATGTGTATAAACAATTATTGTTAAACTAACACAAGCGCGGCGTTTCTTTGATTTGCAACAAACGCTAATTACGAAATGCTCCTAATTTGGTCCCAATTTCTTCATTTCTTTATCTTCCCAGTATCTTTATTGACGTATGCATTACATATATATACTGCCGGATACACTGGTGCTATAACATAATAATAAAGAATATGTATGGAAAGAAGCTAGCAAGTAACAAGATATGTTTGTGAAACACTGATGGCAACATAGCAATGATTAAACTTTTCTTAATTAAACAGTGTTGAATGCAAACTCACTGGAAATACAATTTTGAAATATGAAAGTAGCCAAGGTTGAAATTTTTTCATGAGTACGGAAATCTCCAAGGTCAAGGTCAAAAGATTGTTGGTATCCAATGAAAGGATACATATGCGAAGTATGCATGTCCTGGTATCAGCTGTTCCAAAAATATGGTCAAAGTAAAAGTTTGGAATTTTTGTGTAAAAGTGGGTCAAACTCCAAGGTCAAAGTCAAAGGGTCAAATTTGGTGGTGCCCAAAGAAAGGTCTTGTCACAAGGAATACACATACACAGGTTAAAGTTTTTGTGGACAAAAAGAAAAACAGACAATAACAGAGAGATGGAAGGACATGACAACAACTATATATCCCCTAATCTTCATTTACGAGGGCATAAAAAGTACTATACAGTAGTTTTTCATATTATTAATCTTGATGCAGTCTACGAGTAAGTTTCCCATGTGCTTTTTATGCCTCCGTAAACGAAGTTTCTGGGTATATAGTTTTTGTCATGTCCCTCCGTCTAGCTGTCTGTCTGTTTGTCCGCAAAAACTTATCCTTGCCAATAACTTTTGATTTAGTGAAGCTATGACTATTGGAGTTAGACATTTTACACAAAAATTCTTAACTTTCATGGTAGCTCAGTCAGTAGAGTGCTCGCTCCATGATTGGGAGGTCGTGAGTTTGTATCTCTGCCGAGACTGACCTAGTCGATAAAATAGGTAGCAACTGTTCCTTCGCCATGGCTCGGCCCTTTGAAGTGAAAGTTGCGGGTCCTTCCGATGAGACCTTAAAAACCGAGGCCCCGTGTCAGCGGCAGGAGTTGGCATGATAAAGATCCCTCACTGCTCAATGGCCCTAAGTGCCGAGTAAAGGTCAAAATTTGAAGCCCTTCACCGGCATACGGTGGCATCTCCATATGAGTGAAAAATTCGCGAGAGGGGCGTTAAACAATATACAACCAATCTTAACTTTCACTTTGGCCATATCTTTTAAACAGTAGATACCAGGACTTTTGTACTTCACATATGTATTTCTTGTAAAAAGTCCTTTCATGGAATACCAACAACTTTGGAAATTTTTGTACTTATGAAAAAAATTTAACCTAGGCCATAACTTTTGAATGATAAGAGCTTTGGCTTTCATTCTTCATGTATGTAATTCTTGTGAGAAGACCTTTCATTGGATACCAAAAACTTTGACCCTTTGACTTTGACCTCGGAGTTTGATCATTTTTTACACAAAAAAATACAAACTTTTACTTGGACCCTAATTTTAAAATGGTAGATACTAGGAAATATTGAACAATTTAGAATCTACACTACCCCAGGATGCTTCCACATAAGTTTCAGCTTTTCTGGCCCAGTGGTTCTTGAGGAGAAGATTTTTAATTTAATGACCCCAACCTATTTTTGTCTTTTCTTAATTATCTCCCCTTGTGAGAGGAGCTGGCCCTTCATTTTTAAAATTTAAATTCCCCTTTACCCAAGGGTGCTTTGTACCAAGCTTGGTTAAAAGTGGCCCAGTGGTTCTCAAGAAGAAGTTGAAAATGTGAAAAGTTTACAGACAGACAGCTAGTAAGATGGATGGATGACCAACAAAATGTGATCAGAAAAGCTCACTTGAGCCTTCAGCTGAGGTGAGCTAAAAAGTACTTTGCTATTGCTTGATACATTTATTATTGCAGTACAATCATTGCCCAAGGGGCTTTATTATTTTTTTTCTTAATTATAGACTGAAGCCTTTAAGGACAGAGGAGATGTTCCTTACTAATAGATAAATTTTTCTAAGAGTTTGTCATTGAAGTATTGCTACTTAAACATGTTTACTCACAAAAAATTGGGGTACCTTACCAGGCATTTCTGCAAGATACCAGGGGTAGTTTTTCTTATATAATCCTTTGGGGAAGAAAAATAATTTTCCAATTTCAAATGTTTAAGTGTTTGGATTTTTTAACAAGAGGCCCACGGGCCTTATAGATCACCTTAGTATCATGTAACAACTTTCCAAAAATTGAATTTGGCTCGTGTTTTAAACCAGAGGCCATGAAATTCACAATTTTAAAAGAGGCACCATTGCTTAATTATCATAATTATAAACTTGGCATGCCTACGCTATTTACTTAATACCCTAAGGTAGATCAGAACCAGAGGTAGATTAGAGTAACAAGGAGAAAATGCATTTCCACTTTTAGTGAATTTCAAGGCCCCTGGGTCAGGGCTTCTTCTGTTAGGGCGGGTCCACAGTTGAGCTCCCCATCCCACAGGAACCACTGACCCTGGGGCCACATCTTTCAAAATTTTGGAAATTTTTAAAAATTTTATTTCATCATGCTGTTGATTAATAACAAAGTGCAGACTTCAAATCATTAAATTATTTCAGACTATGTTACCCCCCCCCCCCCCTCAAAGTACCTCTGTCCCAGGGGAAAGGAAATTAAACATTTTTGGAAGAAGCAGTTTTTTTGTCATAAATATATACTAAGATCATTGGCACTATACCCAATAACAAAGGAAAAGATGTTCAAAGAATTCAAGCATTTTCACTATATAAACATTAGAGCCCCCCGCCCCTCCCCCAACACAAGAATCTCTAACCCAGGGACCCTGAAATTCAAAAATCTCAAAGAGGCATCCTTCCTCCTCATAACTATGTACATAATTCATTGGTTAAATACTCAGGTGCAGAAAAGAAGAGTTTTACAGAATTTATGCATTTTAACTATATATTCAATAAAGCCCCGCCCTAACACCAGAAACCCCAACCCCGGGGCCATGAAATTCACAATTTTGGAAGAGGTAGCCTAATTCAACATAACTTTGTACTTGGTTAGTTTATTCAATACTCAGGAGCAAAGAAGAAGATTTTCAAAAAAATAATTCATTTTTACTACATAATCTATATAACCCCGCCCTAGCACTAGAACCCCTGACCCTGGGGCCATGAATTTCACTACTTTGGAAGAGGCAGCCTTATTCAACATAGCCATGCACTTGGCTAGTATATTTAATGCCCATGAAAATAGAAGAAGAATTTCAAAGAATTTTTGCATTTTCACTATAATATTATTTATATAGCCCCACCCTACCACTAGAACCCCTGACCCTGGCGCCATTAAATTCACAATTTCAGAAGAGGCAGTCTTATTCAACATAACTATGCACTTGGTTAGTTTATTTCAAATGCCCACAAACAGAAAAGAAGAATTTCAAAGAATTGATGCATTTCACTATAGCCCCACCCTAGCACTAGAACCCCTGACCCTGGGACCATAAAAGTCACAATTTTGGATAAGGCGGTCATTTTCAGCTTACCTATGCACTTGGTTAATTTATTTAATGCCCACAAACGGAAAAGAATTTAAAAAAAAATAATGCATTTTCACTTTATAACCTGTTTAGCTCCGCCCTAGCACTAGAACTCCTGACTCTGGGGTCATGAATTTCACAGTTTTGCTAGAGGACTCAATGCTGATTACAATCATACCAACAGTTTAACTGCTCGATGTCTAGGAGTAAAGAAGAAGATTTTTAAAGATTGCACTAATTTTAGTGGTTTTTGCCCCACCCCGCAGGCCCAAGGGGGGCTGGGACCATGAAATTCACAATTTTTGTCCCCCTTCACCCATACATGCTATATGCCAAATTTGGTTGAAATTGGTTCAGTGGCAGAGATGCTTAAATTGTTCAAATGTTAATGTACGACGACGGACAAAAACAGATAACAATAAGTCACCTGAGTTTACTCAGGTGACCTAAAAACAGTTAGAAACTGGTTTAGAAATCAGGATGTTATTAAAATTTTGAATATTTTTCATACATTACGAAGATATACTAAACAGATTTTGAATAACGTCTTGTCTGACCTTGAGTTCATTCTTTTGAAACTTCAAAATTTTCATCAATACATATCACTTTGAATAAAGTCACAGTTCTCCAAATGGTATATTCTTTTGAACAATGCTGAATCTAGTTTATCCAAAGAAATTTGGTTGAAGTTGTCTATGATGGCTTGACTGTATAAAGCAGAGGGGCACCAGACACTTTGATCAGAAAGCTCATTGGATAAAAATAGCAATACATGGCTTACAAACTCTAGGCTGTGGGTCCCCCAATTTGCAAGATATATTAAACTGACACCTTTGGAGAGGGGGTCATTGAAGTTCTTTGAAATGACAATTTAATTTTCTGAAAATTAAGATGTTAGCTAGGAAATTCGACATCCTGAATACATACAGCAAAACTCGGTTATGATGAAGTCACTGGGACTTTTGAAATTACTTCGTTATATCCATAGTTCGTTATAACCTTATGAGAAATTCATTAAATTTATATAGCTGGGGATCCAAAATGACTTCACTATATCCGTAAATTTGCAATATCCGTGTTTGTAATAAACAAGTTTTACTGTAGAAAGAAAATTCCATATTTGAACACAATAGAATGATCTACCGTAAATCTGGAAATTTTTACTGTAAATAAATTTTTAGCAAATTTCGACAGTGTGTTCAATTTTCAAATATATAAAAACAAAATCATGCTTTTGCATAAATCAAGCATAGTGTTGGTTTAAAGCAAATGAACAAAAAAAGACTTTAAAAACATCAAGTCTTCTTGATGACAAAAATTTGGTCAAAATAGATCTTTCCTCTGAGGGGTAGTTAAATTTAAGTTCAAAATTATTTAAAATTTGTTAATTTTCTTAAAATTTCGAGGTAACAGAATTTCCCAGTAGATGTTTCCAATTTCTAGTGGCCAGGCCTTATGTATACATGAAAAAAGTGGAAAATCCCTTTCCTGTGTAACATTTTATTGTTAATATTGTAATCATTGAACACACTTTTATTCAAAAGAAATAAACTGTATAAGGTGTCAGTTCAAGTATCCATTAATTGTATTATCTGCTCAAAGGCAGGGGTATCCTCCGGAGCCACCGGAGTCATTGTGGCCCACTTAACAAGTCTCCATGTAATGCTTCTGTCTTCTATATTACATGAGCCCCCCAAGTGAGTATATGTGTACTGTATATGTAAAATGAAGAAATAAAAAATGAGTCTTTAATTCTCATCTTTTAAATTAGAGAATGATTGAGAATTCTCATTAATGAAATTTATTATATATATAAGGATTTTCAATTTTTTTTTTATGTTTTTAGGCTTTGTATTCTGTACAAATTTTTCTCATTTTATATACAGTTGTCACACACAGGTATCAATTTCTACTCTACAAGCAAGAGATATACTGATATATTAAAATAGGATATGAAACAAGTTTAATTATATTCATGATCTGAACAGAAGGACATAATATCTTCAAATTATTCTGTTTCCATGTCCATTTACAATTTCTGGTCCTACAGGACAAGATAATAGGGTTCTACCAAAAAAAAAAGAAGGAAACTGATACAATATCTGAAAAAAATGTGTTTGTAAAACAGTGATGCCCCTTGTAAGATCTCTCATTGCCATGCATATGGATTCTCAACTGCAAGGCAATTAAATTTCCTGCTATGAAAGCTTGATCTACAAACAAAAGTTATTTGAAATCTTCTGCTGTAGTGAAACAAGTAATGGTCATAAAAATACATCATACTCCAATTAATTCTCAACATTTCATTTTCCAATTTAAAATGTTATGTGTCAGCATTAAAATAACTTAATAATAAATTGATTATCATACATTAAGTTTGATGTACATGCGTCAATACTGAAACACAAAAGAAACACCTCTTATTTTATGGGAAAAAAACTAAATAAAGTATAGCTCTGATCTAAAAAGTAAGAACATTTTTTTACAAATTGCAAATCACTTAATATGGAAATTCTCAAAATAAAGGTATAGATAGAATCATGACTCATCAAGCCTGTGTGTATAATGTTGAACTTAAGTTTTTTTCATGATCCTGGGACTAGAATTCCAAGGGTTACTACATTGTGCCAGAGCAAGGAAAACCCGACCTCAGCTTCAGGAAAAGGGGAACTTAAAAAATCAAAAGAATATTTTTATTGCTCAAATCAATAGATTTATAAACTTAATTTATGCATTATACAAATAAGCTGTTGTTGTGCATGGTAGACTTGCATACTGTAAATGAGTGGTTGGCCGGAGGGGTAAAGAGTCATGTGTTTTTTTCAAAGGTTTCAACGAATAAAACAAATCTCTGATGTTTTTGAGTGTACATTTTAACAAATTGAATTCATTTTTTAGAGACCATTCAATGAAAAATTCATTTGTTGTTAACTGCTTGTTGCATTTCTTTTGCGTGTCAGTATATTTTTAAAACTTCCTTGACAGAAAAAAATCAAACTGAAAGCTTTTGTACTCCCTTCTTGTATTTCAGCCTCCTTTGTCTCCTCAGATTAATCACTTTTGTCCTGATCTTCTTGGTTTTCTCCCCAGTTGGATAATCCCTTAGAATGTTTGGATTCTTGGTAAGGAATTTTTTTATTTTATTTGCCACTGTAAAGTTTAAGAAAACAAGAGGCCCATGGGCCACATTGCTCACCTGAGAAGCTTTGACCATTCTGTTCTTTACTAGATTTCCCCTTTGTAATACATACTGTGACCCCACTCTACCCCACTGATCATAATTTAGACAATCTGAAATCTACACTACGCCAGGATGCTTCTACATAAGTTTCAGCTTAACAAAGATTGTCCAATATATTACTATGTAAAACTTTAATTCCCCATTGTGGCACCGCCCTAACACCCCCCCCCCCCCCCTCAAGTCATGATTTGAACAATTTACAATCTACACTACCCCAGGATGCTTCCACATACGTTACAGCTTTTCAGGCCCAGTGGTTATTAAGAAGAAGATTTTTCCTGTGTATTTTTATGTAAAACTTTGATTCCTCATTGTGGCCTTGCCTAACCCCCGGGTGTCATGATTTGTACAATTTAGAATCTACACTACCCCAGGATGCTTCCACATACCGTATATACTCGCCTATAAGTCGGTATTTTGGGAGTTAAATATTGGTCTAAAACTCTATGTCCGACTTATAGGCGAGTCATAAAAAGACAGATATTTTTCTGGGAGGTAAAAGGTAGAGCATTCTATTTGCATTTCTGATGATTATCAAAGAAATTGTCTGAATATATAAGATAACTTATGTATTCTTAGTTTATACATATAAAGTGCAAGTATATACAATTTTTAATAATTTTATTTGCATTTTAAGTGACATTGCCATTTTGTTTGATAATTAAAGATTAAATATCAGTGTCATTTTGAAAAATATTAATTGAAACCAGGTTAAAATATCAGTGGATTTACTTGAAATTGTCACCAGATTTTGCAAAAAAGTTGCACAGACTTATAAGCGGGTCAATAGCAAATCCCACCAAAATGACTTCAAAAATTACAACTGACTTATAGGCGGACCGACTTATAGGCGAGTATACACGGTAAGTGTCAGCTTTTCTGGCCCAGTGGTTCTTTAGAAGATTTCTAAAGTTTTTTTCTTTATATTTCTATGTAAAACTTTGATTCCCAATTGTGGCCCCGCCAAATCCCCGGGGGACATGGTTTGAACAATTTAGAATCTACACAACCCTTGGTTGCTTCCACATAAGTTTCAGCTTTTCTGGCCCAGTGGTTCTTGAGAAGAAGATTTTCAAATGAAACCACCCTATTGTTGTCTTTTCTTGATAATCTCCCCTTGCGAAGGGATTTGGCCCTTCATTTTAACAATTTAAATTCCTCTCACCCAAGGATGCTTTGTACCAAGTTTGCTCAAAATTGGCCCAGTGGTTCCTCTGAGAAGAAGTCAAGAATGTGAAAAGTTTACGAACAAACGACGGAAGCAATGTGATCAGAAAACCTCACTTGAGCCTTCTGCTCTGGTGAGCTAAATATAAGTCAGCATGGTAAGAATAATTATTCTTTTTAGATTAGGTTACGGTATGTAAACTTGTCTAGTCGTTTACTGTCAGCCAGGGTCTCAAAATGGAAGCCATTACCCAAAAAACATGAATGGTATAAGGAAAAGTGCAGATATTTTGATCAAAATGCAAACAGCCTGGATAAAAGTGAAGAAAGTTATATCAACTTTTAATCAAATTGAAGAGGCAATTTGAAAATATCAACTGTTAATTACACTTGTAAATATTACCGTGTAATGGTCCTGCATTCCCCTCGTTTTCGAAATCGTTGATATCTTCCTTGAAATATGATTGTATGGCTTTATCCTCCTCTGGTAGCCAGCTGTGTCTCTTGACTTTCCTTGATGCAGCTGTCAAAGAGAATTCGTTCAAATCAAAGAAAAGGTTTGGAAATCTTAGGAAACCTACAATGTTAGGGGAATAGTAGCTGTAATTTGATAGCTATGATTAAGCTATAAGAGATGAAAAACCTAGCATTTTTAGGTTGACCTCCTACATCATAGGGCATACAATTTTAAATCAAATTAATCCATTTGAAGTACAAAAGCAAGGAACTACGTTGAAAATTGGTAATCAAAGATTACAGAGCTCATCTAAATGAATGTTGTCTTTAAGTAGGGCAAAGTCCCACAATTAAGCAACAAATAGTGTACACCCAAAAATGCAAATTTTATGAAATTTTGTTTTGATACTTTGGAATAGGCCTATATAAAAACTTCAAACTAGTTCTTCAGCGTGAAACCTAATTAAAATCCAGCATCTGAAGCAACTTTGAGAGTTTTCATCTCTTGATGCACTATTTGTGCAAGTTTGGTTTATATTAACCTTGGAGTTTCTTGGTAATAGACCTGCACCCATAACTTTAACCAGGTCCATTATCTTGAAAATCAGCATCTGAATTTGAGTGTGCATCCTAAGATGTATCATCCATGCAAGTCTGCTTAAAATATCGCTCAAAGTTATTTGGAAATAAAACCTGTATAAAAAATAACCTTTTTACTAATCCAGAAAATGTAGGTCAAATTCAGCATCTGAAGCCAGACTGGTAGAATGCTGATTTGCACCTTTAGAATTACAATCCATGCGATTTTGGTTACTAAAGAGCTCAAAGTTTCTTGAACCTGTTCACTCAACTGGAAAATGTTAGTCAGTCTCAAACAAGTCAGTTGTATGCATCTAAAGATGTTCCATCCATACAAGTTTACACATTATAGGGCTCATAGTATTTTTGAAATGAAAACTGCATCAAAAACTTTAAAATGTTCACTTAACTGGAAAATGTAGTTCAGATTCAGCATTCGAATCAAGACTGGTAGTATGCATCCTGAGATGTACAACATGTATCCATGTAAGTCTGGTCATTTATAATAGGGCTCATAGTATCTTTGAAATGAAAACTGCATCAAAAACTGTAACCTTTTCACTCAACTAGAAAATGTAGGTGAGATTCAGCATCCAAATCAAATCGGTAGTTTGCATCCTAAGATGTACCATTCAAGCAAGTTTGGTAATTTTAGGGTTCATAGTATCTTTGAAATGAAAACTGCACCAAAAACTTTAACCTGTTCACTTAACCAGAAAAGGTAAAATGACCTAAACTAAATAACACTATGAATAATAGTTACTTTAACCAGAATGCTGACGCTAACACAGACGCTGATGTCAAAGCCGAAGAAGATCTTTGAAGAAATAATCTATTTTTGTGTGGACCCTGAGGCAGACAGGTCCACGAAGTTAATATAGATAAGCGAGGTTAAACCAGATGCCCTGGGCTACGCATGAGCGAGTATGCTCCCTTAGTAACTTGTCCCTAAAATAATTTGCCCTATTCAAAGAATGAGTCCTCTTAAGGCTGCAATCTCGCCCCTTTTTAAATTCAGAATTTTACCGTTTTGAATCACAACATTGTTATCTTATAGCTAAAGTCTTCAAGTAGAGTGTATGTAGATACTAATTCAAGATTTTTTAAGAAAAAAAGCTTTCAATATTTACATGATATCAAATAAAGAAAGTGGCATATTTCACTGTAAAACTTCGCCATTACGGCTATGTAGGTCATTGCAGTACTAGTATTTGAATAAGAAGGCGGGGCGTCTATCAAGCGTGCGATTAGTGTGAATACATTAGCGAGTGTTCGAAGTGTACGAAGTTTTATAATTAAGTGACACCTAAAAACCCTCTTTTCTTATTGGTAGAGACCGACCAAATACATGTATAAGCATCTTCTTTTTTTCATTTGTCAGGCTTAACTTTGTTTTTTCTGCTTAAATTACCAGTTTCATTTGCAGTGATTTATTAGAAATTCCTCAAATTATTTATATATAAAAATAAACAATGGATTTTATGAAAAGAGCATATAACGCAAGACACACTTTTTCATACTTTAAAACATTATTTTTTATAGCGATGATAATTAATCCACTAGGGCTTACAGATGATTCATTAAAGCTTATTACTGTTTCGTAAATAATTATTTCATAGTATATACATATATAACTTTGCAAAATTCGTGTGCTACAAAAAAAAAATGGTTGAATTATGATATAAAACATAATGTATAAAAGTTTGATTTTTTTTTGCATAAGGAATAAAATCGCACAAAACTGAAAAATTTAACGTCAATATTATCGCTGCTAAATATAAAAAAAAAATCAGAGTTAGACAAGTACAGTCCCCAGATTGCATTATTAATCCATGTCATGCACAGACAAGTTACTGTGATATGATTGTCATGTTGTAAATTTTGAATTAACCGGGTGGCAGTAAATACAAAATTTAAAACATGACAACTTATATGATCTTCCCTTTTTAGGAATTATTATTTGTAGAAATCCACTCGTGTACATTTTGATTTTTACAAACTCTCGTCCTGTTCTGAAATAAATAATAAATAATTTCAAATAATTTTTACGCCCCTTTTCATTCGATTTTGTTACGAATAACTATATTCAAATCTTTAATTGTTGTTAGATTTTGTGCCGATACAAAATGTTATAACATTTGTAGTGTTGTCAGAAGAAATCCGGAGTTTCCCTCTATTCAATATTAGGGGTGCATTCTGTACAATGTATTCGTCCAGTGACTTTTCGTCCGATATACAGGTCTTTTTAACGTCCCATTGTTCAATGTGATGTACATAGACTACATACAATGTATACTTAGGAACAAAGGAAAAATTATAATATATATATTCACAGTATTTTTTTTAAATTCTGTATTGATGAGATACAAGCAGTAAGTGCTAGGTTTGTACAACAAGCTTCCAAAATATATTTATATACACCGAAAACAAATCAAACATAATCAACTGAAATTTCGTTTAATAACAAGTAAATCAAAAATGTTAACACATCTAAAATAAACAGGTAAAAAAAATTATTCCAGGGTACATTACTCATTTGAATATGATTTGACCATTGATAACTCGCAACACCGGACACGATGTCGCATTGATCTGCTCAAAGCATGAAAGTGAATAGATTTGAGTCACGTGTTCAATGCTTTGTTATTCATGAGGTCAAAGGTGGGTTGAAATTTGTAAACAAGGTGCCTTTACTATAGGGACAGATACCCGTGAATTTGCACCTTTTTGGAAAATAACATGTGAGCGCACGACTGTTTCAATTTCTTTCATGAATTAAAATGACAAGTTTAACTCTTTACATTGACCCTATTTACTACAACTTGAAACATCTATGCGCTCATGTAAAAAATGGGCTTGCAAAGTGGGGGTGTGGCCTAAAGTCTATGGGAAATCGATGTAAACAACGTACCCCTGCTATATTAATCAGATAAATACCCAATTACAGTGCAAGGAAGTGAAAATTGAAAATAAAATTAATAAACTGCAATGTTTGATGGAAAGATTGAGACAAAACCAGTTGGAAATCTTCAAACTTATTTTTTGCAAATTATCGGGGGGCCAAATGTGGACGTTTAAACGATTCATTCTTTAAAAAATGCCATTCATTGGCAAATCGCTCTAAGACTTTTAAATCTGCATATCGCATTTACATATTTGGCGAATCCGATTTTCTCTCCTTTACTAATACTTTTATTTACAAACTAAATACTGATTCTATGCAGGTACAAGAACTTGCAGTTTATAGATACATGTAACTTGAATGTGTGTGTGTGTTTTTTTTTTTGGGGGGGGGGACAAAAAAATCTGCGTTCTACATAGCTATACTTCTCGTAAACCATCTGATCTCTATTTTTCCCATGATACATTCTTCGTTATAAATCAAGAACAGGTGTCAAGTCCAGGCCAGTATTGGTTACATACATCAAAATAGCCGATTTTTTAAACTGACAAAAGTAAAGACTGCTAATCAGAGATCAAATTTAACAATTTTGCTTTAAGACTACTTTCAGTCATAAGTAGGCAGATCATTGCGGAAAATGTGAAGAAACCTAATACATGAATATTTCCTACACCTAGAAATTTTCTTAATTGAATTTCAGTTAGAAAAACATGCATATGGTCCAAGTATTGCAGTCATTTTTTAAAGAACAGCAACTTATCACTATATAATCAATAGAGCCCGGCCCTAACACCAAAACCCCTGACCCAGGGGCCATGAATTTCAAAATTTTGGTAGAGGTATCAATGCTCATTAAAATAATGACAAGTTTGACTGTTTGATGTCCAGGAGTAAAGAAGATTTTTAAAGATTGCATTAATTTGAGTGATTTTGGCCCCACAACTCAAGTTCCAAATGAGCAGGGACCCTAAAATTCCCAATATTTGTTACCCTTCACTCATAGATGCTGTATATAAAATTTGGTTGAAATTGGTTCATTAGTTCCAGAGAAGAAGTTGTTAAAAAATGTTCCAAAGTTTATGAACGATGTACCACAACATATGAAAAAGGAAAGCAATAAGTTACCTTACTCATGTGATCTAAAAAAACAATAAACTAAGACAATTGGTATCTCAGTCAGCATGGTCAGTGGCGTATATTCCATATAGGCTAAAAGGCTGTAGCCTACACATCATTTTCTCACGGATTGCAAAAATATATAAGGCAAACATAAATATCTCTGAAAGTAATAGTTATTAATAAAGTTGCTTCAAAATTATAGGTCTTTTCTTTTTGATTTTATTTCAAGTCAAATAGCAAAAAGGTCGTATTTATTCTAATAGCAAACTGGATTTTACTTTATCCGACGGTCTGATTCCGATGTGTGGGTTAAGTCATACAAGGTGAAATTTCAAAATTTACTAAAAAGTCTATAGTAGAATAGTAAAAAAAAAAATCAGTTACATTTAATTATGAACAGGACAGCCAAAAAAAAAACCAGAGTGAAACCAAAGGTGATTATATCACGCAATAATATAAAAAAAGATTTTAAAACATAGGTAATCAGAGATTACAGAGCTCACCTCAACGAATGTTGTCTTTAAGTAAGGCAAAGTCACACAATTAACCAACAAAAAGTGTACAAAAATGAAAATATTCATGCAATTTTGATCTGATACTTTGAAATAGACCTATATAAAAAATTCAAACTAGTTCTTCTTCATGAAAATGTAACTAAAATCCAGCATCTGAAGCAAATTTGAGAGTTTTCATCCCTTGATGCATCATTTGTGCAAGTTTGGTTTATACAATGTTATATAAGCCTTAAAGCATTTTGGTAATTGACCTGCACCCATAACTTTTACCTGGTCCATTATCTGAAAAATGTATGTTGAATTCAACATCCGAAGCAAGTCCATTAGTGTGCATCCTAAGATGTATCGTCCATGCAAGTCTGGTCATTAAAGAACTCATAGTTACTTGGAAATGAATCATGCACCAAAAACTTTAACCTGTTCACTCAACCAGAAAATGTAGGTCAGATTCAGCATCTGAAGCAAGCCTAGTAGGATGCATCCTTAGACGTATCATCCATGCAAGTTAAGTCATCATAGGGCTCATAGTATATTAGAAATGAGACCTGCACCAAAAACTGTAACCTGTTTACTCAACCCGAAAACGTAGGTCAGATTCAGCATCCGAAGCAAGCCTGGTAGTATGCATCCTTAGATGTATCATCCATGCAAGTTTGGTCAAATTAGGGCTTATAGTTACTTGGAAATGAAACCTGCACCAAAAACTTTAACCTGTTCACTCAACCGGAAAATGTAGGTCAGATTCAGCATCCGAAACAACCCTGGTAGTATGCATCCTTAGATGTATCATCCATGCAAGTTTGGTCATTATAGTGCTCATAGTTACTTGGAAATGAGACCTTCACCAAAAACTTTAACCTATTCACTCAACCGGAAAATGTAGGTCAGATTCAGCATCCAAAGCAAGTCCATTAGTGTGTATCCTAAGATGTATCGTCCATGCAAGTTTGGTCATTATAGTGCTCATAGTTACTTGGAAATGAGACCTTCACCAAAAACTTTAACCTGTTCACTCAACCGGAAAATGTAGGTCAGATTCAGCATCCGAAGCAAGCCCGGTAGTGTGCATCCTTAGATGTATCATCCATGCAAGTTTGGTCAACAGAGGGTTTATAGTTCCTTGGAAATGAGACCTACACCAAAAAGTGCACCAAAAATGTTAACCTGCTCCAAAAACATTAACCTGGTCATTCCTCTGCTGAAATTGCAGCATCTGAAACTTTGACTGGTACAATGAAACACACTAGAAGGATCTTCCATGCATGTCTATTCAACATAGGACACAGAAGTATTTAAAAAGAAAACTGCTCCAAAAAACTTAACCTGGGACGCCGACACCGACACCGACGCAGACGCCGACGCCGACGCCGACACCGAGGGTATTACATAAGCTCCCCCAACTTCGTTGAGGTGAGCTAAAAATACAAATTTTCCTACAGAACAATATTTGGTTTTTTTTTTTTCTGTGGTACTACAATAATTTATAATCCTATTAAGTTTTTTATATATTAATATCATATTTAATAATATTTAAAATATTATTTTAAAAATCTTTTTATTGTAAAATCGCATATAATTTTGTATCAAATATTCAAAATTTCCCGAACCCCCCACCAACGAGAGGGGGCGACTCCCTCCCGTACCTACCCCCATTCGGTGCTTCGCGCCTCAGGTGAATCTCCGATTCACATTAGCCTACACATGAACAGGAAGGAATATACGCCGCTGATGGTCAGAATAAAACTGCATTTGGAGTAGCGTTTTGAGAATATTTTGCAAGAATTTAGAACTTTATTTAGTAACCACAGCAACACTATTCATTGAAATAAAAAAAAAAAAAAAACAAACAGAATTATGTATCTTAGTGTAGTCTACTTGTGTGCCAAGTTATACTGAAATCAGACCAAAACTGTAGGAGGAGTATCATTTTTAAAAGTATATCACAGAAATTTCTTAAACTACTTTTAGAACCCACAACGACATAGTTCATTGAAATGTCTTTTATAAAAAAAACAATGTAAAGAATTATGCATCTTGTGTAGTTTACTTGTATGCCAAATTATATTGAAATCAGACAAAAATTGTAGGAGCAGAAGCATTTTGAAAGTATATAAGTAAAAAACATCTATTTCTAGTACACTGTAACCAAGGCAGCACTATTCAGTGAAATCAAAAACTGATTATAATTGTATCTTAGTGTAGTTTACATAAGGAAGGATTCTTCTCATATTTCTAATATCTAAAAATTAAAGAAATTTTCACAGAATCAACAAGACAATATCAGTGAGTGATTATATCAGTGAAATTAAATTTGACCATTTCATATTAGAGGCAAGGTCAGGTCAAGGTCATTATCTTTTTCCTTGACATTATGAAAGAAAAAGACTGTTGTCAATCATGTGATGCCTACTTCTATTTCAAAAGTTTAATGATTGTTCTTTTTGCATAAACACAAATTACTATATCGCGTCTATAGCATGATATTACCAAATTTACATAAATAATTTTACTTAACTTGGTATTGTCTAATCCGAATTTTCTCTGTTTTTCTTAATTTTTTAGGATATATTAGTTATTTTCATATGCTTCCTATATCTAACTTTTTCTTATTTTCACATATAATAAAGTAGTCCTATAAATGTACAAAATGATACAAAAACAAAAGGTTTTGATCATTTACTAAGAGAGAAAAAATACTTTTTATGGATTTTTAGCTCAAATGTGCACTTTGACAGGAAGCGTTTAACAGCTAACAAAGTTCTAGTTTGTTGGAAAAAGCATATTTGTTTGATATAATTTGAAAGTTCAGTCCATTATAATTAATTTAACTTACATTTGAAAATTTTTCCAAGTTTTCCATTGTGTAAAAATTAAAGCTAAATTCATTGTTTTATTATAATTTTGAGAGGCAGGAAATAAGATATTTTCATACACCACCATTCAGCCAAAAATATAGTCCCTGCTAGTTTTCAAACGCACTTTACCATTTCTATTTAAAGTTGTACATTTCTGATGAATCCCACTGTGGGACGTGGACACCAATGTCCTTCTGTTGATACAGTACAAACTGAAGCCCCGTGTCGCAGTAGGTGCTGGCACGAAAAAGATCCCTCACTGCTCAAAGGCCCTAAGTGCCGAGCACAGGACAAAATTTGTAGACTTCCACCGGCAAGTGGTGGCGTCTCCATGTGAGCGAAAAATTCTTGAGAGGAACAATATACAATCAATCAATCAATATACATATGTATTGAAATTAGACTAAAATATAGGAGGGGTAGCATTTCTAAAGTATTTCACAGAAATTTCTATTTTTAGTAACTACGACAACATTTTTAAAGGAGATCAAAAACTGAAAAAGAGAGTAATGTATCTTATTGTAATCTACTTGTCTGCCTAGTTATAGTGAAATCAGACCCAAACTGTAGGAGGAATAGCATTTTGAATAATTGTTTCCAGACAGATGGACAGACAGCTACACAGACTGCTAGATGAACAGATATCTTTATTTATAAAATTTTTGGATAAAACTGAACAATTATTACGACCTTATAATAGTTAACATTTACTTATCTTCCAAGTTTAAGAAAGTAATAAGTTAAATGTCAATCTTTCAAAGGAACATCCCAAGTTGTCCACTCTGTATTTTCATAAGATTCCATCAATGTTTATACCAAATATCTAACCAATATATATTACCTGAATTAATCAAATTCCTGTATTCAAAAGATAAAACTAGATGAACATGTTTCTAACTTACATTTCAAAGATTCAATTTCACTTCCATCATCTTCTGATCCAACTGAACTGTCATCCTCACTTGAATTTGACGAATGCTCAGGATCTGTGTCTTTATTAGCTTTACCGTTTCGTCTTCTGGAAATTTTCATACTACTGGGTCCTGGCAGCTTTATAATAAAGTATTTATATTTTTAATTTTTTGAAATTATATTTAAGGCCATAGAATTATATATTCCCATTGCATTATCATTTCATATTTACCTTGATGTTGGCCGGACTTTTCTCGTTCCAAATTTCACGTTATTCACGTTTTTCTGCCTTAATTCCGCCAGTGTGTCAGTGACTTTATTTCCGGTGATTCTGATTTAGACAGTCGTACCGTGTCTATATGTGCATGGACAGTTTGCACGGGGTTGTGTAGAGAACTATAGTGATAGTTTTAACAAATTATTTATTTGTCATTTGAATTTGTGCTTAAAATTTAAAGACAATGTTGTGATTAGTATTATTTTCTATTGCATGTATATCTGAATATATATATACAGATAAATAGTATACAATTATGTGTATTATTATGCGACAATGTGTTGATAGTTGATACAGAGATATGATATATGTGCATATTGTTATAGAGTTTAACCTTATGTGATATAATTTATTACATAGATATCTGTTGTTTTATTGTTGCGGATTAACTTTAAATTGTTGATTGTTTTAACTATTGGAGCGAGTATCTGCAGTATATAGGCAGTATGTATATGTATAATTACATAAGTACTCTTCATATTTTTGAGAGAGAGACTTGAGTGATGTATTTATTTGCATATTTATTGTTTTAATATATTGATGATATAGTCATGCATTCTTTATATCTTAAGGTGGGGGAATGTAGTGGAGTCGTATATTTTAATTAGAGTTATCTCTCTTGGATCTTGGATGGGGTGCGCGGTTGTCATTGAGATGGTGGCCATCTCAAAGGGCCCCGCTTTCAACAATGAACATGAAAATGTAAGGTAGTTTAAAAGGGTTTATTTTGAAGAGGAACATTTGTGTAATACAGTAAAAGTCATTTAGTACGACTTCACAGATATTGCGAATTTACAAAAATATATCAAAGTTATCTTGTAAATGTACCTTCAGTTATATAAATTTACTAGAATTAAAGGGAAAAATTATGCACCAAACATAATAGAGGTTAATTCTGACAATGACCTAGAAACTTCGACCAAGGTCACCGCACATTCATTGACCAGTGGAACTCTTTGAGTGAAGTAATAGCCAAATTGGGCCAAGGACAGAGAAGATATGCTCCATACAAGGACTTATCATAAAAGTTTGCTTTGACCTTGACCTTTGACCTAGAAACATGGTTCAAGGTCTCTGCACACCAGTTACCTAAAGGCACTCTGTGGGTGAAGTATAAGCCATGTTGGGCCAAGGAGAGAGAAGATATGCTCCAGACAAGGATTTTTCATATAATTCTGCTATGACCTTGACCTAGAAACATGGTTTAAGGTCACTGCACACCGGGTACCCAAAGGCACTCTGTGTGTGAAGTATGAGTCAGATTGGGCCAAGGAGAGAGAAGATATGCTCCGGACAAGGATTTTTCATATAAGTCTGCTATGACCTTGACCTTTCAGAAACATGGTTTAAGGTCACTGCACACCGGGTACCCAAAGGCACTCTGTGTGTGAAGTATGAGTCAGATTGGGCCAAGGAGAGAGAAGATATGCTCCGGACAAGGATTTTTCATATAAGTCTGCTATGACCTTGACCTTTCAGAAACATGGTTCAAGATCACTGCACACTGGGTACACAAAGGCACTATGTGGGTGAAGTATGAGTCAGATTGGGCCAAGGAGAGAGAAGATATGCTCCGGACAAGGATTTTTCATATGTCTGCTATGACCTTGACCTTTAACCTAGGAACATGGTTCAAGGTCACTGCATACCGGGTACCCAAAGGCACTCTGTGGGTGAAGTATGAGCCAGTTTGGGCCAAGGAAAGAGAAGATATGCTCCGGACAAGGATTTTTCATATAAGTCTATGACCTTGACCTTTGACCTAGAAACATGTTTCAGGGTCACTGCGTACGGGGAACCAAAGGCACTCTGTGGGTGAAGTATGAGCCAGATTGGGCCAAGGAGAGAGAAGATATGCTCCGGACAAGAGATATCGGACGGACTGACGGACGGACGGACAGACTGATCACTATAGGGCGCCCGCCAAGCGGGGCCCTAATAAACTATTTCTTCCTTAGTTTCCTATTTCATTTATTAAACTGTTTGCTCAACATTTTACTAGCCATATTCCTGTCCATTGCTAAGAACGTTAGTTAAGGTTTTTGCATCTTTCGCCATATCCTGCTCACTACACACACGATTTTAAAGCACAATTTTTCAAGAAATAAGTTTCACTATTTGAATGGATTCCTTGAAAACACAACCACCACATATCCTACATGTATGTACAGCCACAAACTGTCTTTCCTTTCGAATTATTTACATAATATGTTTTACCCATATGATACAAGTATAGGGTACAACACTTACACAAGTAAAGACATTAAAAAGACAGTCCATGGATGCATTGTAGTCTGTTACTAATTGATACTTAGATGCGAAAATCAACTTCACTGATAGCTCTCAGCATGGTGCAAGATGTTAACCCCCTTCCCCGCAGTCACGCATTTTAACGCATATACCATTTCCTATTTCTAACGCAAAATCACGCATATACCGTTTCCCCGCAATCACGCATTTTCACGCACTTTAAAAAGTTCATTTAATCTTAAATTTAATGGCAATTTCCCTTCTATTTTATACTTGCAAAAATCTTAAGAAACAAGAAAAGTTAATTTTGTATAAAAATATTACGTCATACTATTATTTGCGTTTTACTTTAGAGAAACGTGTACCACGCTAAAAAGTGCTTGCGGGGAAATGGTACATTTCTATTTCTATGACGTGAACATTAAGTGTATGTGGCATAACAGTTCAGTAAGTTGTAAAGAGTTAATAGGAAGGCTTGTACTAGTTACATTGCCTGAAGTAAGGGTCTAGAAGAAAAAAATAATAGTTTATATGGATATAAGTTAAATAGAACACACCATATTATGTAAGTAGTACGTAGAGTGTTTTTACTGAACACTAGTAACTTGCTTCCAGTTTGAGATTTACAACTTAATTATTAAAATCCCATTCGAGTTTTCAATTATGTACTTATTAAATCACTATATTACATGTACATGATAAATAATAAACTGCTTTTGATTAAGTATTAGCGCCATTTATGCAGCAATTGTTAGCTATATGTTACAAAAGTAATGTGTGTCGACATGATTTGTGTATAATGTATAGAGAAGAGCATGATAAGAACTGCTCTTATCTACTAATTGTGGAATATTTATTTACCTTACTAATTACCTCATATTACTAGAAATGCGCGTAACACAGCATTGCACTAAAGTAGCATTAAGAGACTCAGGGATTTCCAGTTGCACATTTTTAAAATAACAAGTGGAGTTATTTAACTTGCTTATAGTGGCGCTGGATTGCGAACGGAAGTAGATTTACGCTGATATGTCATGAGTATCATGTAACAACTTTCCAACAGTTCAATTTGTTCTTGGTTTAAATCAAAGGAAATGAAATCCAAAATTTTGAAAGAGGCACTATTGCTTATCATAACTATACACTTAGTTTGCTTACTTTGGTTACTTAATACCCAGGGATAGATCAGAGTAATAAAGAGAAAATGCATTTCTACTTTATAATCAGTGGTGCATCCCACCCCACAGGAACCACTGACCCTGGGGGCACATATTTCAAAATTCTGGAAAATTTATCCTAAAATTTACTCCATCATAAATAGTTGATTAATACCAAAAAATCAGATTTCAAAGCAATAATTTATTTTCAGACAATTTAACCCTCTAAGTACCCCTGACCCAGGGGCCCTGAAATTCACAATTTTGGATGAGGCACCTTTCAGCATTATTAATATGTACTAAGAGCAATGGCATAATACCCAGAAGCAAAGGATACGAACATTTCTAAAAAAGAATTCATGCATTTCCACAGTCCCACCCTAACACCAAAACCCCTGATCCTGCGGCCCTGAAATTTACAAATCTGGAAGAGGCATCCTTCCTTACCATAACTCTGTACATCGTTTTTTGTTTTGTAGATAAGGAGGAGAGGAGAAGATTTGTTTAGAATTAATGTATTTTCACATTATAATCATTAGAGCCCCACCCTTACACCAAAACCCCTGACCGTTGGGCCATACAGGTTCACAATTCTGGTAGAGGTACTTTTATTCAACATAACTATGTACTAATTTATATGTACTTTATTTAATACCAAGGAACAGAGAAGAAGATTTTTAAAGAATTAATGTATTTTCACTATATAATCAATAGAGTCCCTTCCTACATGTAACCCCAGAAACTCCAACCCAGGGGCCATGTAATTCACAATTTTTGAAGAGACTAAACCTGGGAGGCATTCTTGCTTATCATAACTATGTACATGTACTTGGTTAGTTTGTTTAATACCCAGGAGCAGAGAAGATTTTCAAAGAATTTATGCAGTTTCACTATATAATTAATAGAGCCCCGCCCTAATACATGTACCAGAACCCCTGATTCTGGGGCCATGGAATTCACAGTTTTGAAAGAGGCAATCTTATACGAAATAACAATAAACTTATTTAGTTTATTTAATGCCCAGGAGCAGAGGAAAAGATTTTCAAAAATATTGCACTTTTATTTTATAATCTAGTAGCCCCGCCCTAGCACTAGAACCCCTAACCCCATGGCCATGAATTTCACATTTATTTTAGAAGACTCAATGTTGATTAAATTACAATCATGCAAACAGTTTGACTGCTTTATGTCCTAGAGTAAAGAAGAAGATTTTCAAAGATCGCATTTTTTAGTGGGTTTGGCCCCACAATTTACATGTGTAGGCCCCAGGAGGGCAGGGACGATGAAATTTACAATTTTTTTTACCTTCACGCATAGAAGTTTTGTACCGATATTGATCAACAGTTTCAGAGAAGACGCTGTAAATGTTCAAACGACGGACGCCGATGGACAACAACGGATATCAATAGCAAAAATTCAATTTTTCATATCTTGCTTATCCGAACC